GTCTTTGGCTTTCAGCAATTTGACTATGATGTATCTAGGTGTAGACCTCTTTGTGTTTATTCTACATGGGGCTCATTGAGTTTCTTGGATATGTATATTAATGTTTGTGATAGCCTGAATAATACTCCCCAAAGATGTTCACATCCTAATCTCTGGAACTGGTGAACAGGTTACCTTACTTACATGGTAAAAAGGACTTTGCAGATGTGAGCTCCTGAGCTCAAACAATCCTCCTGCCTCGGCCTCCCAGAGTGCTAGGATTACAGGCGTGAGCCACCACGCCCAGCCAGGAGATTTTATTTTTAATTTACCCCAACATAAATACAGAGAACATTCTATACCCCATTCTGGGACACCTCACAGCTGCTTTCCCCACCTTGATTGCTTCCCTCAGTATAGGAAAAATATTCCTCCCTAACAAGAACTTTTAGAAACTTTACAGCCCATTCCCCTCATCTGAGTGCCAGCCAAATCCTCTAACGTTATTGCCTTTGAGAAACCTCCATGTGGATCCTTTCAAAGACATCTTTGTCAAAACTGAACTGGTCATCCTCTAGGGTTTCCCTACCTCAGATACACAAGCCAGAAAAGAAGTAACCCAGACATCTCTTTCTCTTCTCACCCCAGAGCCAACCTATCACCAAGCCCTATTGATCCTACCTCAAAAACAGCTCTTAAAGCCATCAATTTCCGCTTCCACTGAAAAGCCAGAGTGACCTTTTATAAACACACACATGATGGTGCTAGTCCCCTGACTGAAACTCTTCCGTGGTTTCCCATCATTCTTAGAATAAGCCTTTAATCCTTGGCGTGGCCTATGTACCTTGCACGATCTAACCCCTGCCTACCTCTTCAACTTCGTCTCCCCAACTCTCTCCTTCATCTGTCTTCCAGCCCCACTTCGGAGCTTAAGCTCCGTGAGGACAGAGGCCATGCCTGTTTGCTCACCACTGTGAGCGGTGGCTCACACCTGTAATCCTTGCACTCTGGGAGGCCGAGGCAGGAGGATCGATTGAGTTCAGGAGTGCAAGATCAGCCTGAACAAAAGCAAGACCCCATCTCTCCTAAAAACAGAAAAATTAGCTGGGTGTAGTAGCACATGTTTGTAGTCCCAGTTACTTTGAAGGCTGAGTCAGGAGGATCAGTTGAGCCCTGGAGTTTGAGGTTGTAGTGAGCTATGATGCACTCTATCCTGGGTGATAGAGTGAGACTTTGTCTCAAAAAAAAAAAAGAACCAAATGTTGCTAAAACAAATGTAGTCTCTTAGATGGAAGGCAAATAAAACATTAACTAAATTATGCATGGTGGAGGGGAGAGTGTGTCTTATTCATGTTTGTATCCTACGTGGCTAACACAGGGCTTGGACCATAGTGAGGCTAAAAAATGTTTGCTGATTAAGTCTTACATTTAGGTATTTATCCCTCTTCTCATCCCCAACCCCTCCTGTGGGCAACCCAGAGGTCTAACCACCTGTTTGACGATAGGAGACTAGGCTCCAAGACAGAGCTGGAAAAATAGACGTGGTCTGTGGAATTGATTGTACATTCTGAGAAACAAATAAACCAAGAGTGAGGAGCAGTAATGCTCTAAGGATAAGATCCCTACCTACATTTGGCATTTGACATTACAACATTCTCCACCTTTGGGCCAGACAAGCCTTTAAGATACAAGCTCTTCTTAGTCTCAAGGCTTCACACATGCCCTTCCCTTACCCTGGTAGCTCCTTGCCCAATTTAACTCCAACTCAGTCCTTGAGGTCTCAGCTAAATAATGTTTTCTCAGGAAAGCCTTCCTGTCTCTCCCCACTCCCTGCCCCTGCCAGTGACCCCATTATATATTCTTATAGCACCCTCTACTGTCCTCCATAGCATGTTTCATAACCATAATTAATATTTAGTTTTAATTATCTATTTACTGTCTATCTCCCTTGCTAGATTTATAAGCAACTTGAGGACAGGTGCTATATCTGTTTCGGTCATCATTGTATCCCCAACACCTAGCACATTGCTGGTAACAATAAATATCTGTTCAATATCTGTTCTGTTGTTTATTGAACAAGATCGTGTTCAATAAATATCTGTTAAATGAAGGAAAGTATAAAATACATACATAAGCACGAGGCCTTGAAGTGACATGGTATGGGCTCTGCCTTTACTAACTCTGTGCCTTTTGGATAAATTTCTTACTATCTCTGAGTGCATTTCTTCCACTACAAATGAAGAAAATAGTTCCTATTTTACAGGGTTATTATATAATTGAACAATCCAGTAAAGTGCTTAGCACAGTGCCTGGAATATAGCAAACACCCAATAAATATTAACTATTATTATTATTAAAGAAGAAAAGGGGGTATGTATATGGTAGAGAAAGCACATTACATGCCCTTAACTAGGGGACATAGCTCCCTTTATGCCAACACAGTGTTGCAAATCTGAATAAAACAAATATTTTAAGTATACTATAGAAACATATCCTCTAAAAGAACCCTGAAACAGGGATCTGCTTATAAAGCCAAGAATCTTTCTCGATATAAAGTGATCATGTACTCACTCATATGGCTTGCACACTTTTGTGTACAGGGTCCAGTTTTTCCAAAGCAAAGTGCACCAGGAATCCATTACTTTAGGCAACAGGGTTCCAAACCTTAGCTTCAAAACCTACAGGACCTCAGTCTAGCTATGTTGCCTTTGTCCAAGGATATTCAAATAAGGCAACATCCTTTTGCTTTCAGGACAACTGCCCTTCCCCTCCTGTAGAAAACTCCATGCCTCAATGAGAAAGTGTCCCTTCACTTTGGTGTTCGTTAGTATCCCGGTGTCACCACCTCCACCCACCCATCCCACTTCCTGGAGCCTTCTCCATTCCCCAGCAGACCCATTTTAAATTTGTTTTGATTTTTCTTCGATTTTTCCACTTTGGATACATCATTTAACCTTTCTGAGTCTCAATTTCTTCATCTATAAAAATGGAACTAAAACAATACTTTCCTGTTGGATAAATGACACAAAATGGGCCATAAATTAGCAAATGGTAACCATTGTTTGTTTCTACCAGATTCCTAATCAATCTACAATGCAGAGAAAAATTAGAACAAAGATGTTTTCCAATGTTATAAATGATTTTTTCAGAGTCTGCATTTTTTACAACAAAAGAAACCCTAATCTACCCCATTAGCCAATGTACTAGAATAAAATGTATGATCCAAAAAAGCTCCAAATGTTGCAAAGCAAAAAAAATTGAACAAATTAAGAGGTCCTCTTTCTCAAAAAAAAATTAATTCAGTAAAACATAATTTATGTAAAACCATTTTTATAAGGCCTTCATTTAAGGACTACATAACCTTTAATCAATTGTCAATCTGGAAGCCTCACCATATTGCTTTGAGGGTTTACAGAATGCCATCCTGGGAAATCCCAGCAGAAAGGAGAGCTGTCAGTCTTACTGGTCACCACAACCAAGGCCCCATTATGATTATTCCTGCCGTCTCCCTTGCTCCCATAATAAGCCTCAGGAAAATAAAAAGCATCATTATCTTAGGAAAAAATTGTGGGGGAGCTCAATATGTTGATCATGTTATGGCAAGGCTCCTGATTATCTTTTAAATATAATTTATTTAACGAGGACCCATTGAAAGGCAATTTTTTTTTCTTTGAAATATAGTCTGACTTTCTTACACAGGCTAGTGCCATGGCGTCAACCTAGCTCACAGCAACCTGAAACGCCTGGGCTCTAGTAATCCTCCTGTGAAAGGCAATTTTGTACTTGAATGAGCATAGGCTTTGCAGAGAGGCCTGGGTCTAAATGCATGCCTCCCCCACTTATTTACTGTAGGTAATCTTAGCCTCCATAACTCTTTTAAAAACACATGGTGATACCACTCACTTTACTCTGTTGTGGTGAGGAGGAAGAAAGATTTTTAAAACAGCCATTCTGGCAGGTACTCAAAATAGTTCCCCTCCTGCCCTTCTGAAAAATTATGTCTTTTTTTTTTTTTTTTTTTTGCTAATCCTAACTCTATAACACCAAGCTAAGGATTAGATCCTTTTTTTCATCACCCTGTTCTCTAGAAACCGACTTACTCTTTTTCTCACCCACACGGGCTGGAAAACCTGAAAAGCACTTTCTAGCAATTTCAAAGAGAAGCATTCTGCTCACTATATATACGTGTATATGAAGCCCAAAGTTACTTCAAAAGCAACTTCTCAACACTCAAATCACTACACCAAAGATTCGGGAACTGAAATGAAAATTGTACGGATACCATTTGTCGAATGCCAGACACTACCTGAGTACCTTGCACGTGCAATCTCATTTATCCTCCACGACAACCTTATAAGTAGGAGTTACTGTCCCCAAAGTTACAGTTGAAGAAACAGACGCTAAGAGTTTAAGACATCTGCCCAAAGTCTCACAATCAGGAAGTGGCAGAGCAAGGACTGGAGAAGTAAGACATCTCAAACAGCCATTCGGTGGATGCTCAAGAATCAGTACCCTCTCCTGCCCTCTGAAAAATTGGATCTCCTTTGCTAATCCTAACTGTCCGTCACCAGGCTAAGGTGTCACGGACTCCCGTGCTCCAGCCCACCTGCACACGCTGCTGGGCCTCCCTATTAGGTCCGTGCAGAGATTAGTAGACAGGCGCGAGCCAAGGCACTTTGGGCGCAGTGGCCTTTCACACTCACCGCCCACGCCCAGGGATGGTGGGCTACGCGCAGCACTGCAAGCATTTCCAGCCGCGGAAACCGAGACTCCAAGACCTCAGAGACCGGCGGGAGCTCCCCAAAGAGAACACGCCAGAGCCCGGATTCTAGCCGCAGTGCCTGACTGAGTCTTCCTTCAGAGTTGGGCGCCGCCGGGATACAGAAGGCGCCCGGGACCTGGCGCGCTCCCTCAGGGCCCGCGGCCATCGCTCGGCCACCACACCGCTTCCCCTCACCCGGCCGGGAATTGCCTTCAGCTCAAGGCCTCATTTCACAGGCTGCCTCCTCCCCAGCCCCTACCTGCTTGCCTGAGACACCATGGTCAATCAGCTTCAGCCTCCCGCCTCGGAAGTGACGTGCTCCCGCACCGCTCCGTCCAATGCCGGCTTTCAGGCTGCGCATGCGCGTCGGAGTTCGACCCGCAAGGCGTAGGTAGGACCGCCAGTACTCTGGAGGTCTGACTAGCGTCCTCCAGTCTTGGTTCTTTCCCTTCATCTTCTGGAGGGAAATTCGTAAGGGCGTGATTTGGGTTCCGTGGACTTTCCAAAAACAACAAAGTTGGAGAATTTACCATACAGACCATACGGTTCTCAAGATAAACTCATAGTAACTGAGAACAGTGTGATATTGGCGCAATAATTAAATAAAAGGAGAAAGAGAGAGAGAGAAAGAAATGAAAAAGAAGAGAGACCAGAAACAGACCTGCAGACAGGTAGTCACTCCCTCCCTCCCTACTAGTAGCCACTGTAACGCAATAAGTAAAGTTATTTTCAGTAAACAGTGCTAGGTCAATTAAATGTCGAAAATGAACCTTGATTCCTACTTCATACAGAAGAATTCATTTTAGATGGATCGTAGACCTAAATGTGAATGATACAACTTTGGACAATAACATAGCAGAGTATCTTGACCAAAAGATAGGAAAATACTTTTTAGCAGAATACAAAAAATATCACCTCTAAAGGAAAAGTCTGATAAATTGGGCATCATTAAATATAAGACATCAAACTACACCATTAAAAGAGTGAAAAGACAAGCAATAAAGCAGAGAAAATATTCATAATACAGTCGTGCATGGCATAATGACTAATACTGCTTGTAAACTAAAAATAAATTCCTAAGTCCCGCCTCCTGACTGAAAGGATCCCCTCTTGGCCAAGGGGACTACAAAAAAACCTTAAAACTGAGTTCCCAGCCGTAAAGCAAAGGGAAGTCAAATACAACTCATTATACTCCCGCCCTTTTGGAGGCTAGGCACAATTGACAAAACAAACTCTTTGTGACAGTAAGATACTATTTTTTTTTGAAACAGAATCTCACTCTGTTGCCTAGGCTAGAGTGTGGTGACATCATCATAACTCACTGCAACCTCAAACTCCTAGGCTCAAATGATCCTCCCACCTCAGCCTTTCAAGTAGCTGGGACTATAGGTGTGCACCACTACACTCTGCTAATTTTTTTATTTTTGTAAGGACAGAGTCTCACTATGTTGCCCAGGCTGGTCTCGAACTCCTGTCCTCAAACAAACCTCCCACCTCAACTTCCCAAAGCACTGGGATTATAGGTATGAACCAACATGCCTGAACAAGATACTAAATTATTAACAGAATCTATGACCATGCAAAGCAAAGTTTGTCACTCCTACAGGTCATCCATTTGCTTAACAGATCACTTGAGTCATTACATTATATTGTGACTTGCGCTCTGATTAACAGACTTCCTTACCCCAACTTAAAACGTTCCAAGTCTTTAGACAAAGTTTTATTTTTTAACCAATTACAAATCAAAGAATCTCTGAACCCACCTGTTAACCTGTAAGCCTCTCCTTCAAGATGTCCTACCTTTTGTGCCAAACCAATGTATAATTTCCATGTATTTATTTATGATTTTACCTGCAATTCCTGTGTCCCTAAAATGTATAAAACTGGTTTCCTTGGGCACACTTTCTCAGGAGCTCTTGAGACTATGTTCCCAGGGCCGTTGGTCACACATATTTGGCTCAGAATAAACCTCTTCAAATTATTTTACAGAGTTTGATTTTTTCCAGCAAATGTGGTCAACAATGGACCACATGTACAATAGTGGTCCTATACGATTATAATGGAGCTGAAAAATTCCTATTGCCTAGTGATGTCCTCTTTGTCTTAACATCCTAGCACAAGGTGTTACTCACCTGTTAATGATGCTGGTGTAAACAAACCAACTACACTGACTTTTTTTTTTTTTGGCATATGATGGGGGTACAGATTTTAAGGTTTCAATAAATGCCCTTTCCCCCCTCCTCCCACAAGTCTGAGTCTCCAGCATGACCATCCCCCAGACGGTACACATCTCACTCATTATGTATGTATACACCCATCCCCCGCCCCCCTGCCCAATACCCTATTACTGTAGTACCTATGTGTCCACTTAGGTGCTGCTCATTTAATACCAGTTTGCTGGTGAGTATATTTGGTTCTTGTTTTTCCATTCTTGGGATACTTCACTTAGTAGTATGGGTTCCAGCTCTAACCAGGAAAATATAAGATGTGCTATATCACTGTTGTTTCTTAGAGCTGAATAGTACTCCGATGATAAGTATACACCATTTTATTATCCATTCTGGATTGAATGGGCACTTGGCTGCTTCCACAGCCTTGCAATTATGAATTGTGCTGCTATAAACATTCGAGTGCAGGTGTCTTTTTTGTAGAGTGTCATTGGATCTTTTGGGTAGATGGCCCAGTAATGGATTTGCTGGATCAAATGGTAGATTCACTTGTATCGCTTTAAGGTATCTCCAAATTGCTTTCCACAGAGGTTGAACTAGTTTGCAGTCCCACCAGCAGTGTAGCAGTGTCCCTCTCTCTCCGCATCCACGCCAGCATTTGTTGTTCGGGGTCTTTTTGATAAAGGCCATTCTCACTGGAGTTAAGTGATATCTCATTGTGGTTTTGATTTGCATTTCTCTGATTATTAGAGATGTTGAGAATATTTTCCTATGTTTGTTAGCCATTCTTCTGTCTTCTTTAGAAAAGTTTCTGTTCAAGTCCTTTGCCCATTTTTAATAGGGTTATTTGATTTTTTCTTGCTGATTTTCATGAGTTCTAAGTATATCCTAGTTATCAACCCCTTATCAGATGCGTAGGATGTAAAAATTTTCTCCCACTCTGTAGGTTGTGCTGTTTACTTCTATGACTGTATCTTTGGCTGTGCAGAAGCATTTTAGTTTGATCATGTCCCCATTTATTTATTTTTGTTGCTGCTGGTGATTGCCTATGGGGACTTCTGTTTTTTTCGAGACAGAGTCTCGCTTTGTCTGCCTAGACTAGAGTGAGTGCTGTGGCGTCAGACTAGCTCCACAGCAACTCAAACTCCTGGCTCAAGCAATCCTTCTGCCTCAGCCTCCCAAGTAACTGGGACTACAGGCATGTGCCACCATGCCCGGCTAATTTTTTCTATATATATTAGTTGGCCATTAATTTCTTTCTATTTATAGTAGAGGGAAGTCTTGCTCTTGCTCAGGTGTGTTCAACTCCTGACCTCAAGCAATCCGCCCGCCTCAGCCTCCAGAGTGCTAGGATTACAGGCGTGAGCCACTGTGCCCAGCCTTTGGAGACTTCTTCATAAACTCTTTGCCTAGGCCGATGTCTAGGAGAGTGTTCCCAACATTTTCCTCTAGAATTCTAATAGTTTATACCTTAGGTTTAAGTCTGTATATCAGCATGAGTTGATTTTTTGTGAGAGGTGAAAGCGTGGGTCCTGCTTTAGCCTTCTACAAGTGCCGTATCCAGTTTCCCGCACCCAATTATTGAAAAAGGGATTGCTATTTCCCAGCGTATGTTTTTGTCTGCTTTGTCAAAAATTAGATGGCTATTTGAGGATGGTTTTATATCAGGATTCTCAGTTCTGTTCCATTGGTCAATATTCCTATTTTTATGCCAATACTAGATTGTTTTAATTACTACAGCTTTTAGTATAGTTTGATATCTGGCATATTAATGCTCCCATTTTGTTTTGTTGCCTAGAATTGCTTTGATATTCAGGGTCTTCTTTGGTTCCATACAAGCATAAAATTATTTTTTCTATATCTGTGAAGAATGCTGAGGGATTTTAATAGGTATGCATTGAATCTGTAGATCAGTTTGGGTAGTATAGACATTTTGATGATGTTGAGTCTGCCGATCCATGAGTATGGTATGGATTTCCATCTGTTTACATCCCTGCTATTTCCTTTTCAGTGTTTCATAGTTTCCCTGTAGAGTCTTTTACCTCCTTAGTTAAGTATATTCTAGTACTTTAATTTTCTTGTTGCTATTGTGAAGGGAATTGAGTCTTTGATTTGGTTTTCAATTAGATTGTTGTTGGCATATATGAATGCCTCTGATTTCTGTGTATTGATTTGTACCCCGAGACTTTACTAAATTCATTTATCATTCCAGGAGTTTCTGGTGAATCTTTAGGATTTCTAAATATTAATAATCATATCATAGCAAAGAGTGAAAGTTTGATCTCTTCTGCCCCTATTTGGATACCTTTAATTGCACTTTCCTATCTGATTGCTGTAGCCAGGACTTCCAGCACTATGTTGAATAGAAGTGGATATAGTGGGCAGCCTTGTCTGGTTCCTGTTCAAAGTGGGAATGCTTTCAGTGTTTCCCCATTCAGTATGATATTGGCTTTGGGTCTGTCATATATGGCTTGTATCAGTTTTAGGTATGTTCCTTCTATGCCTATTTTATTAAGTTTCGTATCATGAAAGGGTGTTGAATTTGTTCAAAAGCTTTTTTCTGCCATTTATTGAAAGAATCATGTGGTCTTAGTTTTTGTTTCTGTTTCTTGTGTGAATCCATTATAGATTTACTTATGTTGAACCATCCCTGCATCCCTGGGATGAAGCCACTTGGTCGTGATGGATTAATTTATTGATAAGCGTCTGGATTCGGTTAGCTAAGATTTTGTTGAAAATTTTTGCATCTATATTCATTAGGGATATTGGTCTGTAGTTTCTTTTTTGTTGCATCCTTCCTGGTTTTGTGTATCAGAGTAATATTCCTTCATAAAGGTGTCGGGGAGGTTTCGTTCTTCTGATGTTTGGAATAGTTTCTGAAGATAGGTACTAGTTCTTCTTTGTAAGTGTGGTAAATTTGGGTGTGAAACCATCTGGACCGGGACTTTTTTTTTAGAAATTTTTTTTTTTTTTTTGAGACAGAGTCTCGCTTGTTGTCCAGGCTAGAGTGGTGCCGTGGCGTCAGCCTAGCTCACAGCAACCTCAAACTCCTGGGTCGAGCGATCTCTTCTGCCTCAGCCTCCCGAGTAGCTGGGACTACAGGCATGCGCACCATGCCCGCTATATTTTATATATATCATTGCCAATTAATTTCTTCTATTCATAGAGAGACGGGGTCTCACTCTTGCTCAGGCTGTT